CTTTGGAGGGTCGGTGTGGATTCGATGGGCCAAATGGACTGCTTCTGCACTGTATGGATTCTGTGTGCTGCTCCATTCTAATTTTAAATGGCAGAAAGACAGGGGCATACCCATCCATAATATCTTGAACACTGGTTGTTTTCAAGAAGGTGTTTGATATAGTTCTTAAGGCTGAAGGATATGGCGAGGAAGCGGGAACAGGGGGCTGAGTTGGATGATCAGCCATGATCATACTGAATGACAGAACAGTCTTGAAGGACCAAATGGCCTCCTCCTGCTCCTATTTTTGATGATTTTATGTTGATGTGCGCTGCCATGGTGTGCCAGGAGCTTGAAATTGAACGACAGCTAGAACTGAAATGTCCCTTCTGCTTGTATATTGATGGGAAGGGCTTATACTGAAAGCTCAAATTTACAAAAAAAGCACGAATCTCAGAAAAAAAACTTGACATTTTATTTTTTCTCTGAGGCTATAGGAGAAAAAAATGAGCTGTGTAATTGCATCAGTGCCTTTAACAGAGTCATGGGAATGAGGGACAGTGGTATTGAAAGGCATATTTCTGTGACAATGAAAGGACACAAAGGTTTCTAGTTGCAGCTGACCAAAGTTGAAAGGTGTATTCTGCAGCACCTGGTAACAAAGACCTTTAAAGAAGAGTTTGGTTTGTTTTTAAAATCAATGCAATTTTTGTCTTAAAGGAAACAGGTCTCTTCTCGGTGGAATGGAGGGCTTTTGTGTGCAGAATATTAATTAATTGTGACTGGCATTTTCTTTTTACCAATGTAAGAATGGTTGGTTGCTGTTTTCTTCCATGAATGCAGCAGCAGAGTTGATTAAAAGATGCATTCTTCGCTCTCTTTTATTCGTTTTAAATTTATTGCATTCTGGAGTCGCACAAGTTTAAAGAAAATGACAGCAAAAGCCCTCTGACTGACCTGAGAAAATGAACGTGGATGTGGCAAAGCTTGTGTTCGGGAGCTTTCTATCGGTAAGGGCGACATCTTTACAGCTCTTTGGGTCCTTGCTGTCAATAGATTAGTTTATCCACTTTGGCCAGAAGGATTGAAAATGTTGGAATTTCAGTCTGTGGAAGGTGGGAGGATGATTGTGAGATTGCAGCAAGGTTACAATTCTGGAGACTTCAATGAAATTAAGGCGTCCGTGTTAACCTTCAACGAGCAAAATCTGGCAGAGCCCCCATGAACTTGACAACTCAAGAACAGCCCTGAATAATAAGCCTGTGACCTGTAAAAACAAGTCTTTGCAAAGGCGTGTAACTTTAGCTGTAAATATACTCAACATTCCATTAACTTCAACTGGAGCTAAAAGAACATAAGCACATGAAAGCTGGGAATGGAGATAGGCACGTTGAATGCACAAATAGTGACTTTTTAAATTTTTGATTTTTTTTTTCCTAAACCATAGTGGCTGGTATCCATGCTCAAAGCAGCTCAAAGAAAGATGTCAGCCCTTTTCCTATAAGATATACATTGCGAGGAATTTATTATTTTCCAGTCTGAGGTTGTTAGCACTGTTTATAGAAGGTCAACCTGTATATTTTACTAACCGTGCCTGTGTGCAGACAGAGTAATGTGTACAGTGGTGAATGTCCTTGCTAATTTTCATATACACTTTTGAAAACTTATGTCTTACCGTGTGCATTTTGATGGCTGTCTAAGGTTTACGGGATAGTGGAAGTGCTGAGTAGCCATGATCTTACCAAATGGCAGAACTGGCTGGAGATGCCAATGGCCTATTCCCATTCCTAATCCATCTGTGATGCAGCAAGTTGCACATGCCAAGCCACACTTGATTTGTGAAATCTACATAGACTTTGGACAGAACAGAACATGACCAAATATTGCCCTCATACTCTTATCCTTTAACTGTCGTTCACCTTCATTTTGTTTCTCACTTCACTCTTTCACCACGTGTTGAAAGTGGCGGACCTGACCTGTTTGTAGTCCATCCGGATATAAAACTGACCTCTAGCTGCCCACGCCATCCCTCACCCACAGATCCCTCCCCTGCCCTCTGTCCTGCAGTTTGTGCACAAATGTTTTGGATTTTCTCAGTGCTCAAACACGATAATAGAGTTTATGTCGGAGGCTTAACATGAGAAAAAAATGAGAGACCATCAATTGAATGGGGTTACAACTATGTTGTAAATTTGATAGCACCTGATAAGGTAGTGAAATATCCCAAGGCATGTCACAGGAATGATAATCAAGTAAAACTTCTCACCATGTCACATTTGAAGATATTAGGACAAGCGACCAAACATTTGATCGAAAGGGCAGGTTTTACAGAGCACCTTCAGAGAGGAAGAGAGGGTACGGAAGAAATCAGTCTGAGCACCCAGGTGGCTGAAGACTGCATTGCAAATAGCAAGGGCACAAAAATCAGGGATGCAGACGGCACCAGAACTGAAACAGTTTCAGAGGATTACAGGGATGGAGGACATTATGGCGACAGGGAATGGTGAAGCTGTGGTGGGGTTTGAAAATGACACTGAAAAATTTTAAAGCTAAGCCATTGTCAGAGTGGGATCTACTTGAATACGTCATTCCACAAAGTCATCCTTTAGTGGATCATTTGGGTGTTCCAATGCAGTGCTCCAAACTTTAAAACATGTGTTTACTGGTTGTTAGTGGTGCTGGTGAAGCCAGTGTTTATTACACATCTCTAGCTGCTTTTGAGCAGGTGTTAGTAAGTCATTTTCTTCAGTCACTGTGATCATTGAGGTGATGGTATGCCTGAATCCCATTAGGAAAGGAATTCCAGGATTCTGACCCAACCATACTCAAGGAAAGGAAACATGGTTGTGTTCCCATGTATCTGCCACCTTTGCCCTTCCAGTTAGCAAAAGTAATGTCTTTATAAAATGAAGGAGTCTTGGTGATTAACTCTTGTTCAGTTAGATGCAAGTCATTCTGCGGACATGAAGATGTTGTTTTTGAATCTACGTTAAGGTACAGGAGTAAATTCATCCTAAGGACTGGTTAAAACCACTCTCTTTTGTTCCAATTAAATCTTTTGATGAAGAAGAGAATGGTGTATAATGATAACAGTATGCTTCAAATTCAAAGCATTTTTGGGAGGATGGTGACTTCTAACATTGTCCCCTGTTTCTTCTAGTCTGGGCCTATTTCTGTAAATTTGTATGTTTTAGCTAAAGTCATCGTTCGTGTACTTTATCTCTTTCTGTGTCTCTCAAAAGCATGGCTAACATGAATGTAAGCTGGCTGTTTATCTTGGGCTGTGAGTGAAAAAAAAAACAGCCAACATGAGTGGCTAGAAATTAGAATGAATGCATTTCCTCACTAACTGTGGAACTGTTCTCAACTGCGACAGTTAATGCAGTGTCAATTAACACCTCTGAAAACAGCTGGATAAATAGCTACTCAGAACAGATTGGGGGTGCAGGGGTCGGATAAATATACCTCATGGTGACCAAACACACAAAGTGAAGCACAGGGACGATGGGGAGCTGTACCCCTGAGAGTATGGACCAGCGATGGTCCACACAAAGGTCGATAGCTTTTAAAGCAGTCCTTAGCCAAAATTACTTTTGCGCAGATGGCGAAAACTTTGCAAACCCTTCTGTCAGACAACTACATTGGATGGAATCAATGAGAGGCCAAATAATACATGGCTCTGGAAGGTTCTGTGGACATTTTTCTTCGCCTGTGGAATTTTTTATGCTGCATCCCCGTGAGCTCAAATCTTGACCAAACCACAGTCTCCTCAATTATTCAAGTATGATGAGGAGAATACAGTCATGCATAGCAGAGTTAAAGTATATGTATATAATTGCTCAAGTGTTTTACTTAGTACTTATGATTTATAAAAACGAATATTCCATATCTAACAGGTGTAAATTTTTTATATAGAATCCCTACAGTGTGGAAACAGGCCCTTCAGCCCAACAAGTCCACATCGACCCTCAGAGCACCCCACCCAGACCCATCCCCCTATAATCCACCTGAGCTACACATCCCTGAACACTATGGGCAATTTAGCATGGCCAATCCACCCTAACCTGCACATCTTTGGACTGTGGGAGGAAACTGGAGCACCTGGAGGAAACCCATGCAGACATGGGGAGAATGTGCAAACTCCACACAGACAGTTGCCTGAGGGTGGGATTGCACCCAGGTCCCGGTGCTGTGAGGCAGCAGTGCTAACCGCTGAGCCACCGTGCTGCTCTATTGTGTACCTGTTTTCTGCTGGACTGTTGTGTAGTCCCTAAGACTTGTTATCTTGCATTAAATTTTGACATAACAGTATCCCATTTATTGTCAGTGGAGAAGGGATTGTGCATCATCAGACCTTCTACTGTACTCTGTGCTCCCCGGATATAAACCTGCCAAACCCATGACTAGAAAGATGGGAGTAGCAGATACATCAGAACACCCTCACCTGCAAGTTCCCCTATAAGCCAGCAGCTGTCCTGGTTTGGAAATATGTTCCTTCGCTGTCTCTGGGTTAACCTGATGGAACCCACTCCCTAACAGTGCTGTGGGTATCCCTATGCTCCAAAAACTACAGCGCTTCAAGAAGGCAGCTGACTACTACCTTCTCAAGGGTGATTAAGGATGGACAAGAAACACTGGGCTAGCCAGCAACTCCCACGTTCCCTGATCGAATGATAAAAACGAATTCCAGGCTCTTGCACATTTGCTGATTTTCCCCAGGCCTTTGTTGGTGCCTGTTCCTTTAGTCTAGACCCTAAGCACTGAAATTCTTGTTCTTAACCATTCAATTTTTCTACTTCCCTTTTAAACTGCTTCACACAACCTTAAAATGCTGACCATGCTTTTGGTCCCTGGTCTTATAATTGCCTTCTGGTTGTGGTCTGACTTGTCTAGGTCCATAACAAACGTTTTACAAGGGAGATGCTGGAGATTATACCACTGGGAAAGCTGGTCTGCGAGAAGACTTTGCTGTTTGGTTTTAGATTGCTGCATTCCGCTAATGTTGGATTTATTTTTTCCAGTGGTCTGCCACTTGCCCTGCATGAATGGAGGACAGTGCACTTCCAGGAACAAATGCCAGTGCTCTCCTCATTTTACCGGCAAGCTCTGCCATATCCCGGTGCAGCCTTCTAATGGCCAGCGGCATCCCCAGCAGCCTGGTAAAGCTCCGACCTCATCGGTAGTTCATTCGACACACACCCTGCCTCTGTCCGTCGGTGGGAAGCCGGGCCTACAGAGTAAGGTTCAATTCTTCTTTCAAACTCTCACAAGCTTTATGCGTTTATTTTTCTTCTTCAGTCTGCAGGCAACTTCGCAATATTACAGCGAAAGCAAAGAACTTTTTTTAAGACGAGTTAAACAATTCTTTCGATTTAATAATGGCCCAAGCTGTGCTGATTGTGATCTGGCAGCATCTATGGAGGACAGAAGCAGAGTTAACGTTTCAAGTCCAGAAACTCATAGAATCCCTACAGTGTGGAAGCAGGCCATTCAGTCCATGCCGACCCTCCAAAGAGCACCCCACTCAGACCCTACCCCTACCCTAGACACGATGGGCAATTTAGCATAGTTAACCCACCTAACCTGCACATCTTTGGACTATGGGAGGAAACTCACACAGACACAGGGAGAATGTGCAAACTCCACACAGATAGTTACGCAAGGCTGGAATCAAACCCAGGTCCCTGATGCTGTGAGGCAGCAGTGCTGACCACTGAGCCAATATGCCGCCCAGTATGGCTGTTCTTCAGAAGTCTTTCTGGGATGATTCAGTCAGGCTGAATTGCCTGTTTACTGTTCAGTTCATTCTAAGACAGGGATTTTATATTCCAGTTATTGTCTTTAAGCAAATTACATAAAACAGAAATCACTTTTCCTTGGACACACTTGTCGGTAATATCTAAACCATTACCCCTTTGTTGCATTTTTAGAAGATGTCCTCAAAAGAGTTTGTCAGTTGTAAGTTCAAACACATTAAATCGGTCAACTGACAAGAAAGTGAAGAGTCTTACCAAACTTGAAACGTTAGCTCTGTTTCTCTGTCCACAGATGCTGCCAGACCTGCTGAGTTTCTCCAGCATTCTCTGTGTTTGTTTCAGATTTCCAGCATCTGGAGTATTTTGCTTTCATTCAGGAAAGTGCAAGTTGCCTGTATCATGGCACCTTGGTGTTGCTTCGGTGAAATGTGGACACAGCCAACTCTTTATTTTAACCTCTGCAACAGCCACATGTATTCATAAGTAAGAAAATATCCCCAGACTCTTCACAGGAGTATTACAGAACAGAGCTTGACATGTGAATCACGAAGAGAGACATTAGAAATGATTGGTCAAAGAGGTAGGTTTTAAGGAATGCTTCACAGGTGGAAAGAGGTGGCCAGGAGGAAACGTTTAGAGAAGGAAATCTGTAGACACAACCACTATTGGGGTAACAATCAAAATTAGAGATGCTCAAGAGACCAGAAGTAGAGGAGCACAAAGATCGCGGACAGTTTAGAAAATATGATTTTAGAGCCTGGAAAGTATTGCTGGAATCTGATAGTAGGCTACTGAATGCACACACACACATTTCTGCTTTGAGAACAGAGAGCTCTTTACGTGCAAAGTCTGCCTGCATCTGAAAAGAGAGAAGACAAGAGCAGTGTTTCACATAGAAATCCTCTTGCAAGTGGAGCTCGGTGAGGAGGTTTTGCAAGTGAGAGGTTCAGATAGGGCGGGTGGTGATAATTTGTAGGTGGAGATCAGTTGGCTATTACTCTTGACAGGAACTGAACACTGAAAAGTCCATCCAGGTGAATGAGGGTATCCAGGCACAAGGAATGCAGCAAAATCCATTTGGGAATCTGGGATAAATTTCTTTCACCAGTAAGCGGTTGGAATGTAGACCTTGCCACCACATGCGTAGTTAGGGCATATAGCATAAATGCATTTCAAGGGCAGCTAGATAAACACATAGAGAGAGAAAGGACGGGATATTGATGAGATTAGATTTGAGAGAAAGCTTGTGTAGAACTTAAATTCTACCACAAACCAGCTGGGCCTAATGACCTCTTTCTGTGCTGTAAGGATGATGTAATTCTGTTCAAGATCTGCCAGACAATTAATGCTTCTTTTCAGAGGCTTGAAAATTTGCTGCATGTTCCCAGCAATTTTGGTTTTGTTTCAGAGTTGCAAATGTATCTTCATTAAGCTCTGCATCTGCCGATTAATGATTCTAGAAGGCAGAAATAATCAGAGCAAGCCCCAGTGTATGTTGCACAATGTTGTGACAGATCTCATGAGACTCTCCAGCATTTCAAATAATAACAATACTTAAGGCATTAACTTGCCAGCAAATTCTAATTAATTAAGAAACGCTATTTCAAACAGTACTGCTAATTAAACCCATAAGAAAAATGTCAGTGGAATAAATCTTGCAAATACTTTTACTTGTTGTGTTTTGTTTCTCATTAATTATTTTAATTATGTAAGTTTGGTTACCATATTTGTATTTTAAATTTCTCTGCTAGTGTTCTAATTTTGGCAATCACACCAATGGTAGCTGTTAACCGTTTTCCTAAAGGTGAAATCTAGACAGGGGTGGGTGCCTTGAGATAGTGATCTACAAATCAAAAAGTACCTATTGCTTTTCTGATAGCAAGGTATATATGAGCAAGGAGCAGGGAAGTATGAATTATATAGATTCCCAGAAGGTTACAGATCTGATTGGTGGCCTGTGCTGAATTAACTAACATTAGTAATTCAACACTCCCGTGAATATTAGAGGATGGATTCCTTTAAAGAGTCATCACCCTATTGTGCACATTCTTATGCAAGACACTGTTTGACAGAGATGCCCTACTGGGTGCATGGATATAGATGTGTGCTATGACTGTGTATTCTTTTCTCCAGAAGAAAGTTTGGAAGAATGAGAGGAGATCTCATTAAAAACCTGCAAAATTCTTAAAAGGTAGAGACAGAAAGGACTTTTCCTCTGGCTTTGAGGTGGAGTTGGGGTCTAGAACCAAGGGACACGGTCTCAGAGTAAGGATTATCCCATTCAGGATTGAGACGAGGAGGAATTTCATCATTCTGACGGTGGTGAATCTTTGGAATTGTTTGCCCCACAGGGTTGTAGAAGTTCAGTCCTTCAGTAGTTTCAAGACTGAGGTCAATAGGTTCTTCATAATGAATGACATAATGGATATGGGGATAGTGTATGATGGTGGCATTGAGTTAGAAGATCAGGCAGGATATTGAAAAATTGTTTTCTTTATTCATTCATGGGCCGTAGGTGTCACTGGCTGGACCAGCATTTATTTCCCATGCCTTGTTACCCTTGACATGGCAGGGATGAGCTGCCTTTTTGAATTGCTGCAAAGCATTCAGTTTAGGTAGACCAACCATGCCCTGATGGAGGGAGTTTCAGGAGTTTGGCTCAGTTACACTGAAGGAATGGCCAATATATTTCCAAGTCAAGATGGTGAGTGTTTTGGAGGGGATCTTACAGGTCGGGGTGTTCCTATATATCTGCTGCCCTTGTCCTTATAGATGGTAGTGGTCAAGAGTTTTGAAGATACTTTCCATGGAGCCTTGACAAATTTCTGTAGTGCATCTTGTAGACAGTACACACTGCTGCAACTGAGCGTCAGTGGTGGAGGGAGTGGATGGTTGTGGATGTGATGTTCATCAAATGGTGTCAAGCTTTTTGAATGTTGTTGGAGCTGCACCCATCCAGGAACGTGGAGAGTGTTCCATCACACTCCTGCCTTGTGCCTTGTAGATGGTGGACAGTTTGGGGAGTCAGGAGATGTGTTTCTCATGGCTAGATTCTAGCTTCTGACCTGTTGTTGTAGCTACGGCATTTATTTGGCTGGTCCAGTCCAGTTCCTGATTAATGGTAATCCACAGAATGTTGATAGTTGAGAGGTGGGGGTAATCTGTGATGGTAAATCCATTTTAAATCTGGAACAGTGGAACAGTCTTGAGGGATGGAATGGCTTACTCCTGCTCCTAGGTTCCTAGTATATTTACCTTGAAAGTAACTTTTATACAGGTAGTAATGTTACTTGAAAAATGTTTTCCGCAATGCTTACTCACCAGTCTTATGTTTTGCTTTTCCTCTCATAACAATATAGTGAAGTTCCCTCCAAACATAGTCAATATCCATGTTAAACACCCACCGGAGGCAAATGTGCAGATCCACCAGGTCTCCAGAGTGGACAGCTCCTCCTTGGAACAGACGGTCAATGGTGTCAAGACGAGGCAGCAGCAGATCACTTACCATGCACCAAATCCTTCAGTCCCTCATGTACCGAATTCTGTCTACACTCACCATCAGCAAGTTCGCACCCACCATTTTCCCAGAACACACACCAAGTTAGGACGCTGCTTCCAGGAAACCACAGGCACACAGGTGAGGCATTGTAGGCTTATTGCTTGCTTCTTGGTAAGCTTTGCAGCAAAAATGCCACTGCAGAATTGAATTGTTCAATGGTTAAAGTCCTGGAGAGATGCCGCAAAAAAATTAACTCTTAGTGGTCCGTACTGGGTTGCTAAACATCATAATATAAATTAAGCCTTCTGTAGTGCTGATGACTTTCATTAGATGCTGTTGGCAAATGTACTGGTTATTGTACTGTATTATGTTCACTTGGCTAAGCTGTAGATGTCTGGAGGCAGAACATAGTTACTGATACAGACTTTCATACAGCTCATTTCCTTAAATCTTATTCTGGGCTCATTAAAATTGGAACTGACTAAACTCCAGATTTCTGAATGTCAAATCTTTAACTGTAGAAGGTCTGAATGCTTGATGACACATTATTGGAAAATGGGCAGCAGATACAGTTATTTTACAAATTATCCCTCACCCGTACTATGTGTTTGTACTACAGTCTGTTTTGTTAATAGGTTAAAAATGAAAGTATTTCAATCAATGACGTACTCCTGCAAACTTGTTGTACAAACATTCCATTTGCTATTGTAACCCATTAATAATTTCTATCATGTTGATGCACATAAATCCTTGATGAGTTTAATTGCACATTTTGGCCTGATTATTTAATCGACTCAAATGGGCAGGAGCAGAAAGTTTTTAAAACTGAACTTGCTTTATGTCAGGGTCAAGAACTGATTTTTTTGTGTGACATTTTTTGCTGAAGAGTATTTTAGGTTTTTCTCTCATATATATGCAGGTGGCTGTGATTCATGTTTTCTGGAATTCAATCTCCAAATCAGCTCACTAATCCAGCTTTCACCTGTCTTTTAAAAATGTTATTGAAACCCATCTAATCAGCCAATCTTTCAACTGTTCCAAATCTCTCCTTTCCTGGCTTGTTATTTGTTTTCCTTACACTTGTTTATGAAGCGCCCAGGGAAAGTGCAACATAAATATAAAAAGTGATTATTGCATATTTTCACCTTTAGCGTGAACAGTTAGCATGTGTTTGGTGAAATGATGCCTTCCTTTTTATTTCTCCCCCTGCCATCTGAAGGAGGTATGAGAAAGACAGAGGTGTGAATTTATACACCGTGTTACTGCGTGCTGTTGGCACCATCTTTTCACCTCCTAAACTTTGAAACCACTCTCCAGATCGTAGCTAGACTTCACAATGTTAATCCTGTCAATGCAGGCTGGGTTCCTCTTCGAGACAAGTTATAGCGGGGCTCGCTCATAAACAAGTCAAGTATAAGCAAAGTCCTGTGGATGCTAGAGGTCTCTAATAAAAACAGAAAGTGCTGGAGAAACTCAGAAGGTCTAACATTAGTGTAAAGTAGTTGATGCTGTATTGCTAACAGTGGACTGTAGCTCCCATTACCCCCCACCATCCGCCCGCCACTACTACCACACTAAAGCTGCCTTTTCCTCACCACAATGTAGGGGTTTTTCTCATTAGAATATTTTATTTGTGTGATATTTCCTCATGCTCTCAACCAAGTGCACTGGATCTTCCAATTCTGTAGGCCGAGATGGACTCAAGAGACCTGCCTCTTGGGGAGGCGATGGCCTAGTGGTATTATCGCTGGACTGTTAATCCTGAGACCCAGATAACATCCTGGGGACCCGGGTTCAAATCCTACCTTGGCAGATGCCAATTCAAATTGGCAGAATTTGAACTCAATAAAATACCTGGAATTAAGAATCCAGTGATGACCATGAATCCATTGTCGATTGTCGGAAAAACCCATCTGGTTCACTAATGTCCTTTAGGGAAGGAAACTGCCATCCTTACCTGGTCTGGCCTACATGTGACTCCAGACCCACAGCAATGTGGTTGACTCTGAACTGCCCTCTGGGCAATACAGATGGGCCATAAATGCTGCCTGGCCAGCCTCATCCCGTTAAGAATAAAGAAAAAAAAATTCAGTAGTGTTTAGAGTGCAGTATTGCCAATAACAAGGAAGCATGTAAAAATAGCCAAGGGAATTGTCTCCTGCCCTGATTCCCCATTCTATGCTCCACTGCGGGAAAGGTCTGACATGTTTGTGGTTATCCATGGACACGTGTGACTGAAAACATCAGTGTGCTGAATGGAGAATAATGATCATCATCCGTGTCACAGCTCCTGCAACAATTCGCATTCACCTATCAGCAAATTTCAACACAGCAAGTTGTCCCAAAGTAGTTCACAGTCTGAGGATTGGGCAGGAGGCTGACTGGGCAGACTTGGACAGGTGGGAATGGTTTGGGAAGTGGGATAAAAATACATCGAGACTTGTTTGCCTTTGGTGCCTGTGGAGATCTAGAACTAACTCCAACTTTCTTGGCTATTTGCAGTGTGGGAAACCTCTTCCTGGCCTTTCAAAGCAAGAAGATTGCTGTGGAACTGTGGGTACTTCTTGGGGTTTCCACAAATGCCAGAAATGTCCTAAGAAGCCGTGTAAGTATATTTGCTTGTTCTATGTGAAAAATAATTTTTTTTTAAGTGGTGTCTTTGCTTGCAAACTTGTGTATGATTTTACATGTTGGTACAGAACTCACTTAGTTTGATGAAAATCTTTTGTCAAATGTTTGTTAGTACACTTTGTTTTTGTAATGGGTTTTTCAATGGTAAAAGTGTCTCACTAGGTGATACATGCCAACTGATATTTTATAGTGAGAAAGCAGCGCTGTGTCATTGCACAGTATCGCCACCAGTGGCACGCGTTGCTCAGAATTCGTTCAGACATTTTTCATTTCCCCAGTAACTGAAATTTCTAATGTCTGAAATTTCAATAAAGTTTAAATTAATTTTTTTAGAGGTATTTCATATCTTACAGCAGCATTTTCTCATTTAAAAGCTTTATAGAAGGCCCCAGGCTTTCCCAAAAAGCCTTTTGGCTTTGGCCCCGATTTTCACCAGGATAGAGAGCAGCTGCTATTTTGCAAAATACAAGAATTTGTCAGGAATGCAAGTGTGGTCCCCAGTCCTGACCTACTCTTCTGCACAGGGGTGGGTGTTGGTTCATGCATGGTTCCTTCAGGTAGTGGGCCATTGAAATGGCCTCCACCCTCCCTTCATATGGATTTTAGAGTTCCTGGTGTCTGGAATCTGGAATGTGAAGATTAGATCGGAGAAGAACAGGTCTGTTCTCATCATTTTTTTTTGGAAAGTCAAGAACTGAAATCCCTCTTTGGATGGAATCCTTTGAGGGTGACAGATGCATTTTGCAACATTGTGCACAAATGGTGCACAAATCCCTTGGAATATTCAACTTATCAAGATTTCACAACAAGTATCAGTGAGTGTGCACCTGTCAAGAAGTGGCTAAAAGTCTCAGAATGTTAGAGTCACCATTGACTGGAAACTACCTTGAACTCTCCACATATTTACAGTGCCAAAGGAGCAGGTCAGAGGCCGAGAACCTACAGTGAGTAACTCACCTCCTGACTCCCCAGGGCCAGTCCACTATTTACGAGCCACAAGTCAGCAGTGCGATGGAACATTCTCCGTTTGCCTGGATGGGTGCAGCCATAACAGCGCTCAGGAAGCTTGACATCATCCAGGAAATGCAACCCACTTGATCAGCATCTCATCCATAAACATTCACTCTGTCTGATACTAACTCTCAATTGCAGCAGTGTACACTGTCTACAAGGTGCACTGCAACAATCTCAAGGTTTCTTTGACAGCACCTTCCAAACCCATGATCATTTCCATGAAGAGCAGCAGATACATGGGAACACCACTGAAATAACTCCACAGAGGCTGGTATCCCATCACCAAGTCACCCTTTTTTACACATGGAGAGCCCTTGACACTGATCCAGCTCTCAGAGTGAACAGGATATATGACACTTATGCTATCTGTCAGCCAGGGCTCCCTGACTGGACTGGATTAACAGCCCCGATCAGGGAACTCATATTCTATGAAGTCCATCTGCCTGACCTCATTACAATCACTACACCTGCCACCTGCAAGTTCCCCTCCAAAACCACTCACCATCCTGACCTGCAAGCATATTGCTGTTCCTTCACTGTTGCTGGGTCAAAATCCTGACATTCCCTCCCTAATGGCATTGTGGGTCAACCCACAGCAGGAGGACTGCAGCAGTTCAAGAAGGCAGCTCACCACCACCTTCTCAAGGGCAGCTAGGGAAGGGGAATAAATGCAGGCTTAGCCAGTGATGCCCACACCCTGTGATTGTGTATCAAGAAATTATGAATGATAAATGCTTTTCTCATTAGATTTGTAGTCTGCAAAACAGAAATTTAAGCAAACGAGCTATGTTTTTACTTCTATATTGTGTGGAGTTGTGGATATTTTGTTAATTCAGCCTGTTGCATAAACATATTTGTTCAGCGTTGAGGTGGACGGGCTGGGGTTGAGTTTTTATATTTTTGACATCCAACTTGACCCCAACCTTCTCTTTTTGGGTTTCATAATTGGGCCTAGAGATACTAAGGTCAGGCAGAGTGAAGTAATACAGGTATTGGAAAACAGGGAGAGAAAGTCACGGTAGAGACAGAGAGGGAGGCAGAGAGAGAAAGAAAGAGACAGAAAGAAGGACAGAAAGGCAGCAAAGAAGAGAGATTGAGGAAGAGGAGAGGGAGAGAGAGAGACAGAGAGAGTTGAACAGAAAGGAAGAGAGAGATAGAGAGGGAGAGAAAGAAAGAGAGACAGAGAGAGAGACAAAAAGAAAGAGAGAATCAGAGAGAGAGAAAAAGATAAAGACAGAGACAGAAAGAAAGAGAGAGACAAGGACAGGGAGAGAGAAAGACATCTTCTGCCAATGGTGTTCAGTGACACAAAAGGTTAATGCTGATGCCATCATCCTGTGAGACAGAAATGACTGCATGCGCGAGTGAGTGTGGAAGACAGATGGAAGTGTAGGGTGGTGTCATTTCTCATTCTAGTTTCTGAAGAAAAGTTGAATTTTGAAAGCAAATGCTGCCTTTCTTCAGAAAGGGTAGGCAAGGAGAGAGAGAGACGGCAGAGAAGTGAGTGGAGGATGAGCAAACTGACCTTTCACTATCCACCACTGGGTGTGGGAGGGAGAGTGGAAATGGTGGAGAATGGAGGGAGGATTAAAGGAAGTTCTGGTCATGGCAAGAGGGTGAAAAGTTTTGCCAGACTGATTTCCTGGGATGGCAGGACTGACATATGAAGAGAGATTGGATCGGCTAGGACTATATTCCCTGGAGCTGATAAGAAAGAGGGGTGATCTCATAGAAACCTATAAAACTCTACCAGCACGAGACAGGGTAAATATATAACCAGGGACTCCAGAACCAGGGGCCACTGTTTAAGATATGGGGTAGGCCATTTAGGACTGAGATGAGGAGAAATTTCTTCACCCAGAGAGTGCTGAGCCCTTGGAATTCTCTACCACAGAAAGTGGTTGAAGACAAAGCATTGATTGTTTTCAAGAAAGAGATAGATATTGTTCTTAGGGCTAAAGTGATCAAAGGGTGTGGGGAGAAAGCAGGAAGAGGCAATTGAGTTGGATAATCAACCATGATCATATTGAATGGTGGAGCAGGCTGGAAGGGCTGAATGGCCTACTTCTGCTCTTATTTTCTATGTTTTTGTGTTTCTTTATAAAAGCGAGGTGAAAAACAATGGAGTCAGGGACAAGGAACAAAGTAGAGAATCAAGCTGATAGTTTGAGATGAAGAAGGACAGTCAGTAACTGTTCTGAAGGGTTAGGAAAGCTCCTGGTTGCCACACAAAATGTAGAGTTTATATCGGAATGAAGGGATTAGTGGAGGGAAGAGCACTTGGGGGAGATGATGGGAATGGAGCTACTGCCAACCCCCTTTCCCCTATAAAATCTATCCAAACTACTGGGGGCACTTTCCCTGATTATGCCGTGCAAAAGAGAAAAGCTGGAGATGTAAACGGAATATGATTGACAACAAACCAACTGGAAGAGCTGAAGTAGCAAAGTAATGAAATCCCAGAAGTGAAAGGGAATAGAAAAGCAGCAACACATCAGGGACAGGAAGAACAGTGGTTACACTGTGAGGAATCATTTATAATGGTTGGATAAATTTAAGACAATAATTATTTACTGCTATCTGCACCCTACTGCTTTAATTATTGTCAGTGCACAAATGTATATCTATTTTTTTTCAACTTCATCTCATTGAAGGTAAGTGCTAAATAGCTTTAGAACGCCAGTGGGATTCTAAGAATTGTGCAACACTGCAACTCCATTTATGTCAGCACACTTTGCAGACATTTATTAATGAGTGCTGGTTTATGAGGTTCAGTTCAATAGTTAATTAGTATTAATTAGGCTGACAGCCAGCCCTGGCTTTGGTAGTAGCACTTTTAGCTGAGTTGTAGGTTTCAGTATTCAACACCCAGTTCAGGGACTGAACATAAAAGCAAGACAGGCTCTGCAGTGCAGTTCTGAAAGAGCATTGCTCCATCCAAGTCCCCTGTGAACCATGGTATTATACTGAAGAGTAGGGGAGGGATTCTCTGTGTTCTTACCAATATTCATATCTCAATTTACATCACAGAAAACAGAGTATTTTCGGTCGTTTTCTGTTTTATGGTTGGTAGGAGCTTGTTGTGCAGAAATTAGATGCTGTGTTTCCTACATTACACTTGAACATACACCATTGGCTGTAAAGCACTTTGAGACATCCGTTGGTTTTGATTAAAGGGTGCTACATGAATGCAACTCTTTTGGTAAATTGTGAGAATTTTCTTTGTGCAAATTCAGAACCATATTTACCAATGAAATATTGGCAATCAATAGATGATGAAACTTGTAGTTTGTACCATCAAGACTCTGGCCTGGAAAAATTGGTTTGTTCTGGCCTTAGTTTTGAAAATAATACCGCTTTCTTTAAACTGAGACAGTAATAATTTACCAAATGTTAATTAATCAGCAAGTGTATTTAAAGGTGATAATAGTGATACTGTTTCTCTTGGAATCGCAGTGAAATCTGACCTGATGGTTTCTAAAAAAACGAAAACATAAGCAAACTTGGTGTGGCATTGTATGGGATCACTGGACCATATCTCAGAGTTTTATTTACAACTTGGGAGCACCACAGTTTGCCTTGATGAGGGTGGGCATTTTTAGTCATTATGCTTCTCTGATACGTTACTGTTCCCTAAAAGCGACACACGCAGGAATCTGTTCTCTGCAAACAGAAGGAACATGTTCAAGCCTTGCACCAGTTGTGAATGATCCAGGAGCTTGAGATGTCTACTGCATTCTCTTTGGAAACACCTCAGCAAATCAGTATCTACTTCCCAGGCAGTCAGTCCTGTTTGTTTTCCTGTGGGTGCAAATTGTTGTGATGAGTTGAAATTTGGCATTCTTGCGTTCTTCCTGACGAGTTCAAAACAAAAAGCTTTGGCGATGTGTTTGGGCTTCCAGCAGCATTTATTATGGTTCATTAGCCTGCACCACGAAAACTGCTTGCAGTCAGCATGTT